TGTTTAGGCTTTATAGGTTAAAACCAGTACTTCGAATTGTGCCCAGAAACAGATCGTCAGCCAATGGAGCTGCTGTAACACGGGGCTTATGTGGTCTCTGGAACAGTGGCAGAAACAAGAGAAAGGCTTCTCCTGATGATCATAACACCTGAGTAAGCTTATAATAGGAGACACAGTACTTGGATAGCTTAAACCGAAGTTGTTTAGGCTTTATAGGTTAAAACCAGTACTTCGAATTGTGCCCAGAAACAGATCGTCAGCCAGTGGAGCTGCTGTGACACGGGGCTTATGTGGTCTCTGGAACAACCCTAGTCAGCAATCTGACTTATATAAAAGAAATGATTCTATTAAACAAAGAAGATGGAACTCAGTATATAAGACATATTTTAAAGGAAATTCTTCCTGTTGAATGAAATTGATATAGTCCCTAATCCCCAGCATAACCATATACTTTTATTTGAACCCTCTCAAAGGTTTACTTGTTTTCTGGTTGGAATGCCTAATAATGAAGTATGTTTACCCTTAGGAATTGTACTGACATTACATTAAATAGTCCAGATGTTTTTTCTATCATTTCAAGGAAAAACCTACCAACTGAAAGAGGAATGATTTTTTTCTTTATTACACTGCAAATATTCTAAGCTTCCTAATCAGAATATAAATATCCAATGAGGTTTTTCTTTTTCATACTCTTGCATAGTTGGCATCTTACATTTTTGTGCTCTTCTCTCTATACCTTATCTGTTCGTTCCACCAGATGTTTTTTGGAGATAAGGCAAGAATTTTTATGTTGCAATATGCACCCGTATTTACTTGTATATTCTGCTCTGTACCTACATCTAATCCCATTCACAATATTAGTCTACTTATTGGAAATATAAATAATAGTGAGGTGGAAAAGCTAAGTATAAACAAAAACATGGTTTCTGGAATACTAGGCAGGAATGAAACTCACACCAATTGCTGGAAATAATATAAGAGAAGGAATTTGGCCAACTAGATTGCTGGATAAAGCAGCCTTTATTCATGCATATATTAGTCGTTGTCAAAAAGGTGTTGGCATTTCACCCAATTTATCACCTGCGTGTTGAATGCATATTGCCCTTTTTTCATCAACCAGAGCTCCAGCCCTTATCCTGGTTAAAATTAAAATTGAAAAGGCATCTTTTGTAGAAGCTGATGCATTCACCAGTCTCTTAACACTTTGCGTGTAACTATTTTCAAGCTGAGAATTATCAAAGGGAACGTTATCAAGAGAGTGAGATGCTTTACTAAAGGGAAATGTTCACAGTTGCATTGCATCAGGTTCTACAAAATCTCCCAAATAAAATTACTGAAGAGAACATATCACTGAATGAATAACGATAACATGCATCAAAACATTTTTCATTTTGCATTCTTTCATTATCTCTTGCTAATGGAAGTATGTAGTTTTGCTTTCTTTCATTGTCTCGTGCAAAACTAATGAAAGCCATGAAAACTTTTTGTTTCTATGAATGGGTACCTATAGTATACTGCATTTTCCGTCAGTTCTTCCTAATTGCAGAAGGAGGTGCAGATTTAGGAAAGCGTAAACACGGCACTTTCTTTATAGGGGCCAGGCTAAATTATAGTAATACACAGCAAACATTTATTGAAGATCCCAACATTCTTAGTTACTCACATTACAGAAAGATGTCAAGGCTCTGATTATGTAGCAGTAAATGGGAGAAACCCCTTATTTAATCCTTAGATTCCTAAACATTCTATAATATATTTAGGTTTGTTTGTCTCTTCAGCACATATTGTGACCCCACCTAAGGTATTGTAGCACCTTGAAGATTAACAGATTTATTTCATTGCAAGCTTTACTGTATTATAATCCATTTCTTCAGATGTAGCATTCTGCATCTGACAAATTGAACTGTAAACTACAAAAGAGCAATACAATATTCTTGTTTTGGTAATACACTATTTATTTATTTATCTATTTATTTATTTAATAAATAAATGTATATGTGAACTATCAGCTAAAGAAAATGGTCAGGAACTTTGACTGAGTTCTGTCAACTGGGAGAAGTATGGCAATAACTGTAGCAATAGGCCTGATAGCAATTGTACTGGCAGTGAGCATTGAGTGATATATGGCAATTAACAGATCTATAGACCTCATACAACCTCTACAGAGACTGATATGTTATAATGTATTATCCCTCCCTCCCCACACCAAATAAACACTTAAAAACAAGATAAGGACCACACGGTGACTTTGTGAAATGATACTGAAAGGTATTATTAAGATATATGGAAATATGTCTAAGATGCTTGTTTTTTAGGACTTTTCCCCCCCTATGAACCCTTATATGATTTCGAAATCATTGGCTGTGACTCCATGAGTGCAAGAATGCAAAGGACATATCCCAGTCAAACATGTTAACAACTAGCTTGTTTAAGTTAGCCAACAATTACTGATAGCTGATTTAGTCAGCACATAGTAAAACAGACATTTGTATTTTCCCTATTGCAACACACAAAGCATGTTACCGTTAGTCTATTACTCTGTTATGAGATTCTTTTGCACCTCAGAAAAACAAACCTGATGCTACAAATCTCACCCCCTCAATTTCTGTCTTCTCAGTTCCAAATCCACCCCTTCCAATTTCAGTCCTGTCAGTATGTATTGTACTGGGGCAGAGGGAATAAGTAACTGGTATTTAATAATCTACAACACAGCATTAGGTGCAACATGAACTAGCATTTGTATCATGTGATATGAAGCTATACCTTCAGAACTGTCGAGGTTTTGCTGTGGCACAAAAAAAGTGAAGTAATCCTCACCTAAATTATTAAGTAATTCAGCTGTGCCCCAACAATTGCAAAAAAAGTATTTGGTTATAAGTAACTACTTTGTAACTAGTTATTTACAAGCTCTGGTGAAGGATAGAATTTCATTTTGAGGTAAAAGATAGGTTTTAGTATTATCAGATTTTTTTAAATGAGTCTCCATAGTAACTGGATTAGTAACTGTCTGTTGAATATCATGGTAAATGCTTTTATATACTTTCAGAACGAATCAGCAAATTTAATACACACAGCAAGTTTTCCTCACTTCATCTCATCTACATTGTTTCCACATAGTAATTGGGTGAAATAAAACTCTACCCCACTCAGTTCAGCAATTAAGTGCATTTCCGCATGGTATCTAGAAGTAAGCAGTGTCAGAAAGAACCCAACTGCCACTATCTGGTAATTATTATTTTCCAGCTATTGTACCTGATCTAGATCTTTGCTGAAAGTTTTTGTTGTTGTTTTTTGTTTCTAAATCCCTTAGGACTGCTTTCTGAGTGATCTCAAATAAACATTCAAAACTGCTGACTGGGGAAAGGCTACACAGCTTTCTCCTTGTGTATACAAAACAAATTTCAGTTACTTCACGAATGTACCTGCATGGGATGAGGGTAATTTTCCTGGCCTATTATCTCCTCACAACATAAACTATGTCAACACAGGGAGAGAAACAGACATATCAGTATGACTTTCCGCAGTGCATTCATTTGCTGAACTGAAAGTTGAAATGGCCCCTGTATCCTATAAGGGGATTTCTTTTTTTCACAAAAAGAGGAAATTAAATGCCCTTCTCAAGCATTCTCAAAAAGACATGTCCTTTTAAACATTTTACTACATAATCCATTTGTGTGAGAACACGGCCCCATGAATATTTCACAAAGGTCACTTTTTTCATTTGGCTTATGGAACACTTATAAACTAGGAATCCTCACGGCGAGTCTCAAGCACACAATAGTGTCAAAGGTTACAGCATGTTTTTCTTTTGCCCTCACTAAATTACTTGCAAATGTATTCAAACACAATGAGAACATATTTTATTTTACTGAAAATAACAGACTGCACTCGCCTGAAAGAAAAGCTGAGGTTCATCAAGCATAAACATGGAGGGAAAACATTGGTTTAGAAACCCATAAATCCTTATTTGAATCTGCCAACCTGAAAGCGAAGTAAAGCTCGAAAAAACTATTTTTCTTAAATGCTATGTCTGATTAAGTCATACTCTTAAATGACAGCTGAACTTTAACATTAATATGATATTATTTAAATAAGTGTATGACTTTTTTTTTACACTAAAAATGATGAATGATTTTTGGACAGCTCAATTGACATAAAGCAAGAAAACCCTTTAATGAGATTTGACAAAATGGAGACATATGCAGAATATTCGTTACAGCTCATGTCGCAGGGGCCTTCCTGGGGAGGATATGGGTTTGCCCACTGAGTTTTTTTATTATTATTTTGATTGTCTACAACCGCTGAACCATCTCTTTCAATTGCTGCTTCCTCTCTCCATGGATTTTGAATTTAGTTCATGTCATTTACATATTACTCTTAATCAGAGAATTTTGTATGTTACGGTTCAGAGTTTGAATTGTGAGAAGTTTGTGAAATGGAAGCAAGAGGTGTCGTTATTGTAACCTTTGTCAGGTAAATATACAGGGAAATAAAAAAACAAAACACAACCCTAGGTATTTTCAGGAGAAGATTAAGAACTGGTGTTTATGTGTAGTTATGTTCATATGGCAAAGCTGTTCATGCTCAGAAACGTGCCTCGTAGCTCTTGCCATTTTCTCCATGTCTCTACTTTACCCCTCCTTAACTCCTGTTCTTCTGCCTGGTCCTTGACCTACAACGTGATACATCAGAATCTGCCTGACTGATTTCCAAATGATATAAAACTGTGATTTAATTTTTTAATTTCACCCCCCCCCCATGCTATGAGTTCTGTCGCTGACTAGTTCAATACATTTCAGCTCTGCTCAAGTCAGTTCCAATGCTGTATGGGGCTGGAGACCTACACCTGCCTTCATCTCTCTGTAGATCTGTAAGTTAGAAGTGATGGCATTTGCAGTCCAACAACACTAAGAGGACCACACTTTTCCACAACTCTCCTATATGAAAGAAATAAAGAAAGAGAAAGAAAGAAAGAGAAGGGATCCCTACCTTGCCCTTACCTTCGTAACATTCCTGTAAGGATCCTTGAACTTTTTCCCAGGTTTGCATCTGTTTCTCTGAGCTGTAGGAAGACAACAAATTGGAAATAATGCATACCCCAATATGTAGAAATGTTTGTTCTTTTCATAGGCGATCTTTACTTCTTTACATGTAAAAATATGCTGAAGCTTTAAACTTCAACTTTAAAAAAAATAAAATCGAATATCCAAGAAGGCCATCAATGAAATAGACAAACTTGCAAAGAACAATAAAAGTTTGCAAAAGATAAAATCAATACATTGTCTTGTGTTTCAGCCTTTGGATTGTGTCTTTAGAGCCAGGGCTCACAATGGAGCACAGATACGACTTAGAACAAACACACACAAAAATCAATGTAAGTATTAGCATTTGTCTATACCTAGTTTAACTAATTTTTTTGTATTTCATTCTACAAAGGAAAAAGAATTTCCAACACACCCAAAATGCCATTTTTATAGAGGTGCTCCTCTATAAAATAAAATGAGGAAAGGTGAAAGTAGCTAAGAGATCAGAAGAGTTGTTTTCAAAATCTATACTAACCAATAGGTTAAAATTGTGACCATCTTCTAACCGATGTGCCTTCAGACTATGGAAGGCTACTATCTAGATCAGTCTTCTCCTACTTGGTGTTCTTCAGTTGTTTGGTGTAAAACTCCCATCGCTTTTGTCTAGCATGGCCATGGTCGTCCAAGGCAACTGAAGGGCACCAGGTTTGGACACCTTCTACACTGAGAACAATAGCTCAAAACTGTCAACTCTGTCAGTGGTCCCACAGGATGTCAAACAATACATTTCCCAGCCCTATTTCAAGATGGAAAGTCAACAAATAAATATTATAAATAAATAAAGCAATTATATTCTTATACTATGAAGAATCAACAGCTCATTGAAAGAATCAATGCTTTGCATTCAGGGGATTCTAAGATTAAGTTCTGGGTATCTCATGTTGAAAAAAATTCAGTTAACAGGCTGGGAAAATCACTGTCTATGAATTTGAATACATACATTTATTTATATCATCCTAACAAAAAAGTCTGAAACATGTGACATGAACCATCTCTGCCAAGCATTGAAGTATTACTCATTGCCTTCTATTAATATTAGCAATAACTGGTTCTGATGACAATCAGTGCATACAGAGCTCCAGTTAAATGGTTTCTTATAAACTCACTCTTTCTCGAGCACGTTGAATCTTCTCTCTGTCATGGCTGAGGTTTTCCAGTATTTCCTGACCAATCTGTTCTGCATGAAGAGAAAGAGAAATAACCAAACACAAATCATAAAAAATAGAAAATGTCATTGCAAACGACAAAGTCAAACTCTAACTAATATGTTTATAAAACACATTCATAAATTTTTCAGTGAAATATGTCTAACAGCTTCCCTAGATGTAGAAAATGGAGAAAATGATAAACAGAAAAGTAAGGTCAGTCTCTAAATATTATTAAAGTGAAAAATTAAGAGCCAGCAAGAACCTGAAACCAGATGCAAAACCTCAGATAAAAATAAACCAAAGAACAAAACAAAACAAAAATTAGAGTGATCATTATTATACACAGAGTTCTGCATGCACCTAGAAATGTATTAGCTCCCCCTTCTGGCTCCAGGCCGCACCCATGAGATAAAGACCCCACAGAATTTGGTTGGGGACTTTATCACATGAATAGCAATTCACAAAGTATGGGAATTGCCACTTGGTGGGGGGAAATGGTTCATTCTTTTGTCTACTGCACAGGAGGCTGGCGTTTCTGGTGAATGAGCTGAGTTTTCTCACATGGGGCTGAGGATGGTGTCTGAAAATTGTGCAGAAGTACCTGCAAAGCATGAGAAGAGGGGCACCAAGGGGAATAGGTGCTATAAAAGTCTGCTTCTGCCAGATCTGTTGTGCACCTGTATTTCTGGATCCAACCCAGTTAAGAAACGTCATTCTTTGTCATGAGGTCAGCATAGTCCAGTGATAACTAACAGAACATTAACTACCACGCACCAACTTTCACACAAAAATACTCAGCTAGTATTTAAACTGTAAAAGAGTCCTTAAGGGACAGTTAGGAAGATTGGTGTTTACAGACCTGAGATTAAAATGACAAGCCATGCACAACTGCTTATTTCCTTGAATGTTCTTGCCTGGCAATATTTGGTGACTAAATGAACACAATACTCCTTAAACAGTGCATATTTTATGTGCAATGTAGAAAAAAAACCCTATGTTTCAACAGCAATCACTTATTAAATAAATAAAAATATTTCAATAAGATAATTTTTCCTCACATATCTGATCATGAATGGAAACACCCATAGCACTATCTCATATTTTGTGGCTTGTGGATCATTACTTTTAGTTGTGTAAGTAACGCCTCCCTGAGGTGAAAGGTAGTGTGATATATAGGTACTAAGTTAAGAACAGATAGCGTTATATAGATGGCAAAGTAACAGAAGTAGCTGCTCTATTGTATATGCAAACAGGCAGTAATATTGGGAAGCATATTTGTTTTTCAGCCTCTTTCTGTGTTTTCTACAAACATACAACTGAAGCTGAACTCTTTAAGGCTCAATATTAAGCTGTAAATAGGAAGGAAATGTCACTAAAATTCATTCAGGATTTTTTAAAATTTTGTTCCCCCTTCATACTTATTCTAAGCTTTCAAGATGAAAAGGATCACACATAACAAAATAATTAAATATGTAAAATACTGATGTAGATATGAGCCAAAATGAAAAGATACAAAATCTCATTTAAACATTAAACAAACCCCAACATAATTGTAGAATACCCCAAAACTTTCTTTAGAAAGGTAAAGGAAAATTGCTTCTAAAGGAAACAATAGCAACAATATGATGTAACAGTCGGCCAACACAGCTCAAAAATTGCTTCACAAGCCCTTTTAAAAAGAAGGATGTGTTGACAATTGACACCTTCTAATGGCCAAGCATATTGCCTAGCTCTAAACACAAAAGTGGCATCAACAGTATGTAAGACTTGAATGCTGTCAACTTTGACAAATAGTATTTTCGTCTCATTGCCAATGACTGAAGATATCAATAAATAAAGGAAGAAGACCATGTCAGTTGGAATACCAGAAAATGAATTGCTGACATGACACTTGGGGTGAAACTTTCAGGCATGAATTCCAAACTGGCACAGGTCTCCTAGAAAATAAATCTCAGCATTGCCTCCTAGCAAATATATACAAACAACAGGAAGACAAAACTTTAATCACTGACATTGCTTTTTAACTCCTGTAGAAAGATGAAATGAAACTAAAATCACTAAGATAATATCATCATGTTGAATAATTCCAGAGGTAGCACTGGGACTTTTACAAACCAAACTCAAATGGGTGCAATTGGTCTAAACTGTGAAGATACTACCTTGCACAAACTATGAAAATATGTACTTGATAGCGCAAGAAGATTTGTGCTACAACATTTGTGGGTACATACCCATGTGAAGTGCAACTATTTGAAAGAAACCATTACTCATTAATGTGTATTTCAGAATTTTTTTTTAAAAAAAATCAGTTTCTCTGCAATTTGTAGTGCTTAAACTTCTAAATCATGCATATGAGCCATTGCACACTATATATGGTAACGGTACCATATTAAGATATGCAGCAATTGGCCCCAAATTCTACTTTATACCATGTTTTTCCAAAAATAAGACAGGGTCTTATATTAATTTTTGCTCCAGAAAACGCATTAGGGCTTATTTCCAGGGGATGTTTTTTTTCCATGTACAATAATCTACATGTATTCAAATACAGTCCTGTCATTTTCTTCTGGTTGTTGCGCAATGGTGGAGGGCAGGGTGTCACTTAACTGGGGCTTATTTTTGGGGTAGGGCTTATATTATGAGCATCCTGAAAAATCGTACTAGGGCTCATTTTCAGGTTAGGTCTTATTTTGGGGAAAACAGGGTAGTGTGAAATGTTCTGTTTGAAATTTCCTCCTGTTTGAAGAACTGTCCAGTTTAAGACTGGTTTAAAGATAATGGGCAGTCAAAAGGGAGATGAAGGACCTCTAAGTCATGTATTAGCACCTCCATAGCAAACACTGAAAACAAAGATCTAGGGGTCACAGTCCTCTCCACACAGCTACAATGGGTTGTAATACCATTTCAATATATTCATTAATAAGACCTCATTATAGTTGATTAAAGCAGCACATTCTGTGAGTCTTTGTTTCAATTTCCTCCTCATTTTTGGTGATGCCACTTTTGTGTCATCAAGCTTGATACTGACAAACTTCACCATACATTATATTTGGCTCCATTGAGAAAAACTATAATGCAGTATATAATATCATAATATCATATAATAGGTATATCAACTTATTCATTCCCTCCCTAGACTACTATCTCTGAGTTGGTAAAATAATCCTGGTATCCTAAAATATGCTCAATCATTTATGCTACTGATTGTAAACAGGTCTCTAGATTGCATAATGAAAAGTACCACCATGTTCAGAACAGAAGACAAAGTTCAAAGAGGCCCTTGTGGTGTATACTACTGCCTATGAATGTATGTGAGCCTTTCTTGCTAAATCAAAATCAAAAGTCATTCTGGAAACCCCCATAATTCAAAAGTAGCTTTTGCAGGGGCCAACATTGGGCTATGCTTTAAACAAGAAGTCAAAATAAACATAAGTATGGATATAAAACCTTACACAAAAGCCAGACACACTTTACAAACTCTCTGGGGCAAGATTTTTTAAAAAACTAGGTTTTATAAAACAGAACGCATATATTTATCACAATGGGAACCAAAAGTGCTAAGTTTCTCTGTAGTATTTCACAATGATAGTAAAGTTAGGCAACATTGATCAGAATTCCAAAAAAAGGAGGAGAATTTAACTTTGATACATAAAATATACAGAATCAGGTAGTTCAAATACACTTACACCATCAGTATAATTTATGTGCTGCCTGACAAAAGGCATGAACATTCAACAGATAAATTATCTCATTCTTAAGTTATGCTGCAATGCAATGATAACACATCACCAAGTGTAAATTCATCATTCAGTAAAACCCTTAAGGGACAATAAAAAAGCTCCTTGAAACATAAGATTTATGTGGTCTACATATTGTTACATTTACATTGAGAAGCAGAATAGCTAAGCAAGGAAAAGTGGCATACTTAGTTGGTTCGGACATAATGTAAAACAATAATTACAAGAATGTGCCATAGTGAGCCTTCTGCTTACAAACTCCACCATCCTACGGCATGACTATAAGGAAGAGTTTGGAAGCTTTTGCCACTGTTTTAAATTAATCATGATTTATCATGTCCAAATCTGGTCAGTGTGTAGAGAGGTGGGAAATGTGTGAACTTGCAATGCATTGGAGATCCTCCTTAAAATTCTGAATTACTGTTTGTTGTGTTGTTTTAATAAATTTCTACATTGTTTCCACATCTAAAAATACATCAGAGCAGTGTATGATAACAATTAAAACACATTAAGGCCAACACTAAAATGGAACCATTTAAAATACAGAACATTAGATAATGAATTAGAATACCTTTCGGTTGAAACATTGTAAAAGAAAGGTTGACAACACAACTGGAGAGTACCATGAATTTGAAAAGATCTGGGTGAAAATATGTGGCAAAATTATGCCACATTTGGTACCTGCCTAATACTGAAGAAGGTGGCCCACCTCTGGGTTGCCAGTAAATTGCATTTTCAGATCAGTGACTGTAGCAGGCCACTCTGAAGCCTCCACCAACTCAGGCCTCCAGGTGTGCTCACTACTCTTCCTTCAACTGCTGCCACCAAATATATAAACAATATTCCAAAAGACAAGTGTTTCTTCCCAAACAAAGCTTGTTTATTGATTTAACAAAAGAAAATGGGTAAATCACAGGTAAAATCACAGTTTCTCATTCACTAAATCACACAGACTTTTCCCTCACTGACTAGCTCTTACAAAATCTCTCTCAATCCTTCTCAAACTCTCCATCTATCAATCTCCTCCCCTCTCGCATCACACACCCCTTTATATATTCCAGCTCCTCCCCCTTCAGCACCACCCTCTGTCCCCTCATTGGCTGATGTTCCACTGCCCAGCTGTGACGGACAGGTGAGAGCAGGGCTGAATGTTACAGTGACCAACAAGTAGGGCCACCTCAGATGAGCTTAATGACTGCAGGGAGCTTCTTCCAATATTATGCAGGGCTTTGTGTATCAACAATACGTTGAACACACTTGGTAGCTAACAGGCACAAATGTCATTGTTTTAA